ATCTGGAGAAAATTTTCTACAATTCATCACTTTTTTATTAATAAATCGGTATTATTTCTCAAATTTGTAGCAAAAAAACCACAGTTATTGCTTTAGAGTCATTGAAGCTCTAGGGTTTAGTATTTACGAGTTACCAATTGCTTACCCAATTCCACCATCGCATCTCGGTAGGGGCTATTGGGAAGTAAACTGGCATTGCATAATGCTTGTTCAGCTTGGCTATAAGCAAGCTCATAGCAAGTGTCTAATGCTTTGGTTTGTTTGATAATGTTAAGAACACTGTATAAGGCTGTATCGCTAGGGTCTTCGATAGCTGCCATTAAAGTCAATTTATCTTGGGGCTTTGCATTTTGTAGTGCTACGATTAAAGGCAATGTCACCTTACCTTCACGTAAATCATCGCCCAGATTTTTCCCCAAAACTTGGACATCGCCGTCATAGTCCAAAATATCATCTATGATTTGAAACGCCACGCCCACAGCTTGGCCATAAGCAGCGCAGATTTCTTGTTCCCTTTTACCCGCACCTGCAACAATGGCTCCTAGGCGCGCCCCAGCTTCAAAAAGTTGTGCAGTTTTAGATCGGATAACGCCAAAATACCGCTCTTGGTCAAGGTCGGCATCTTTGATATTCATAAGCTGCAATACTTCACCTTCGGCAATGGCGTTGGTGGCGTTGGACAAGACCTCCAACACGCGCATATCTCCTACTTGCACCATCATCTGAAAAGCCCGAGAATACAAAAAATCACCCACCAGTACGCTTGCTGGGTTGCCAAAACGGTGGTTGGCTGTGGGTTGCCCTCTACGCAGCTGCGAATCGTCGACCACATCATCGTGCAACAATGTAGCTGTATGGATAAACTCAATGACTGCCGCCAAGGTATGGCGATGGGGGCTTACGCACCCAAGGCTATTGGCACACAGTAGCAACAAGGCTGGACGCAAACGTTTACCGCCCGATTGGATGATATAGCTTGCTACTTCACCCACCAAGGGCACATTAGACTGCAATTGTTTTTGTAGCTCTGCATCGAGCAGCTGCATATCCTGTGCAAGCAAAGCCTGCCAGTCTGGCGTAGAGTTATCCGCTGTGGGGTTGTTGGGATTGGGCAAAGTGGTTACAGGTTGCATAAAATTAGGGTTTAACCCTGTATTGCATGGTATTTTAATGCATCTGGGCTACTTGAAAGAACCATTGCCGAATTTGACTGATAAATTGACCGTTTCCATTTTCTGCCCCCGCCATTGCACTATCCCTTTGCCAATTGCACGCTTGCATTATCGGCACTGGACTGCCAAGTAATGCCTGCCGCCACCAAAGGCTAGTGTCTTGACTAAGCCCAAAGCCTGTGGCAGCTATGGCATCAGAAACTGTACAAATATACAGATTTTTAGCGCTTACTCCTGTATCTTTCATAGTCTGCAAATAATGCTGCATTTGCTGCGGGATGGGACTGTT